CTGCACAGGTCCGTTGTTCCAGCATTCACCCTCACAGTATTTAAACTCTTCTCCTACTCACATTCCTGGCTGGATCTTCCTGTTAATCCCATTTGTTCCTTGTTGCCCTCTGGTTGTGCTCCTCATGTTCCTGGTTCCTGTTTTGTTCCTGCTCCGTGTTCATTTGGCTATTTGTAAGTTTTGTTTCATCATATTTATTTTTCATTAAACCTCCACCATCCATTTGACATTTCTGCCTCTCTTTGCCTATTGATCCACTTCAACCTCCACACAACATGACAGAAAAAGTAGATTACAAAACATAAAAGTGGGACTTAAAAGTTGGATTAAAAATGTTTCCAGGAAAGTGCAGTATTTTTTTTTCTAAAATCAAAATCTTTTTCTTATTGCACTTTGCACAATGAAAATATTACTTTCTTGCATAGACTTATGATGACCCAAGTGAGACAATAAACAGCCGCTGGGCCGAAAGATTTCATGGTTATCATTAGATTTTGTGTTATAGTATACTTTAATGGTGATGTGTGTGCATACACAATTATTTCTGTAAATTATATTGGCCAACTGAAGATAAAATTATCACACTAGCAATATAAATGTGTGTACATTTATCTGCTTAAAAAGGAGACACAAACATTTGTCTGATTTAACCTTAGACAGTGAGAAAGTATGTGTGTGTGTGTTTTTATTGGCGTATGTAGATATGTGTTTTCACCTAAAGATAGAGGAACAGACTAAATTTGCTATCTCTATCTACATGCTAACCTCCATAAATAATACAAGCTTTTATCTGAGCAACAATAGACAGATGTTTTGTACTTGAGTTCAAAATTGTAAGAAAAAAAAACTTATCTATTACATATTTTGAAGTTTGAGTGGCAATTATGTATTTTAGTCCAGTGGAGATATAATTGTCTCTCTTTCTGTTTGAGGGGCAATGAAGAGAGGAGCAGCATTATTTCATCATAAAAACACAAAGTCAAGAGGCAGAAAACCACTTTGAAATGTAAAATTCAACAACAAAGAGAACAAAGATGATAACAAGAAAGATTATTTGAATACAAAATATGCAAATGATTCAAGTGCAAGTCACACAAAGACAATCACTTTGTCAACTCCATGCAATAATGTGAAGCAGTTCTCACAGAAAGAATCAGCTGTGTTCAAAATAATAGCAGTCCAACCTCACAAATTCTTACTGTTTTTCTGCATCACAAATAACTTATTTGTCGTCATAGTAGAGTAAAACATAATTAGCCTTGGCAAGCTTTCTGAATATCCGACTAATTTTAATGATCAATTTGAAGGATAATGTTCAAAACAATAGCAGTGCAGATTGCAATAAAGGAGGCCACTCATTCTGTGAAAACACTGTTGTCACACAAGTGACAAGTATTTAGGGGCAAAGGCATCAGATGTTGTTTATACTAATTGTAGTTCATTCTCCCTGAAATTTTGACTAAAACATAGTTTTGAACAATGTTTAGAATGACTCATTTTAGTCAGTTAGCTTTAAATAAGCACTGATTGGAGAAGATAAAACATATGAAGATCAGAAAATATTCTCAAAGGCATTCAAATCAAAACCAAAGTCAGAAATATGTTGGGGGGGAAATATAAGAATAAATGATCAGGCAAATTCCCAAATCTTAATTTGTGCCAAAATGTATGCAGTGAAAACCAAATATGGTGGACAATTGATAGGATTAGTGGAATATTTAATTTTGCTAGACTAGTGAACCTATTCAACACAGATGATGGGCAGTTTTCAGAAACAGGAGATGATAAATATTATGTACAGATGCACAGGGAAGCCAAATATAGAAACATTTTTTAGTCTACACCAGTGTTTTTCAACCCTGGTCCTCAAGGCACACTGTCCTACATGTTTTAGGTATTTCCTAATACCTAAATCAACACATGATTTCAATTGATGGCTGATTAACAAGCTTTTTTCTGAAGTGCAATCATTTAAATGGGGTGTGTTAAAGCAGGGAAACATCTAAAACATGCAGGGCAGTGTGCCTTGAGGACCAGGGTTGGGAAACACTGGTCTACACCGTGATCTATGCAAAATGTAGACCTTAATGTTGCTTTGAACAGGCTAATATTCAATGTTCTTCAATTTCTGTTGATTAAACAATCTTCCCGGCAGTTTTTTGATGTAATGCTTTTGAATAGAATGTATAGAGTTCTTATCAGAATGCGCATATGGAAATAAAACCCTTTATAAAGACTTTAAGCTTTTCTGACATTTACATGCACACTGTTTCTCTTGAACACAGCTGTATGTGTGTAGTGAGTTTATGTGACAGACTTTGACATTTTCCAGACCCACACCTGCAGAAAAACAGAGGTCACTGTGCTTTACAGCTCAGCTCACTGATTGCATCACAATGAATTTCCTTGAGTTGTGTTAACCACCGATATTAAAGTTCTGTTGTCAATGAGGCACGTCCCTGACCAAGTCTATTAGGCTTTTTACGTCAGTCTTGTCACTGTTGCAACACACATTGTGTTTCCTGTGTGCTATGTCCTTTACATTTAAGAGTCTCTCTCCTTGATATTTTTCCTTTGCGATATAAGAGTGGAATTTAGGTCCAGAAACCTTCCATGTCTCTTGTAACAAAGGAAATCCTGCGTTTTACTGAGCATGTGGTGATGTTCAAGGACACAAACAACTTTCTCTCCACAGTAATTCTGAGCAGGGTTGCAAATAGTCCTGGGGTAGTAGAGAGAGGCAAATGTTGATGAATTTTGTATAAGACGTGAGCTGGTGCTTGGAGCTTTGGCCACTTCAACACTCATGGCTCTGCTTGGCACGTGCACTAGTGGCTATTGGCTGCAATTCCTTCCTTGTTGTTCATTGAGACTTGCCATAGGAATGCAGGGAGGGTAGTGCATCGCATTGTGAAGTATGCATCCCTACAGTATATCAGCTTGATAAAAGAAAAGATCCCCAGCTTAACAAATCCTTAATCGTCTGCGCAAAAAAGAGCTCAGCAAGTATATAAAAATTGTGGTAGCCACCATTATTTAACAAAAACATATTGTTTTAGAAAAATATGAATTTATATCATTGTTCATAAAATATTTGAAAGGTATTACAGTAGGTTACTGTGTTCGCAGGTGGAGATGGAAGGAAGTGACAAGGCAGAGGAGGCGATGGAGAGATAAAGGAAGCAGAGCCATGTGAGAGTCTGCATTGAAAAACAAGAGAGGGAATGAAGACAGAAGTTTAGGTAAAAGTGGAAAACGCAACAAAAAAAACAAAAAAAAATAAGGCAAATTAATACCACAAAAAACACTGATGCAAAAGTGCAAAATCTGTTGATTTTCTGAGATTAGTAGACAGAGGCATGCAGATTATTATGCTTAAATTGAGTTTCAGTGGTGGTTGTTTGAATTTAGCAGATCATAATTCCAATTATAAAAGTACTCGCTTTTAAAATGATGCTCTAAACTCATTAAATTTGTAGCACCTGCCTTCTGGATAAGTCTCTTCACATTCCTGTTTTGGGAGGTTTTAATAAGAATCAAGAGGAACAGGAAAACAGAGAGTGATTGATTGAACCTCTACTGCTTGCTTGCACGAGCCAGAAAAAAAAAAAAAAAAAAAACAGATACAACACCGGCTAGAGAGCTGCTGGTGCCAAAGTGAAATGAGCTGTTTATTCAGGTTGCCGAAAAATAACCCAAAACTAAATTAAAAATGTGCCCTGCTAAATTAGATGCCCTGCTTTTCCAGCAGGAGTTACGGGAGCAAGAAGTGATTGGACCATGCAGCAACTCAGGGGTAAATAGAGAGCAGCTCTGTCGATCAGTTCAGTAGTCAGTGACGATGGTGAAAACTGAGGAGTGAAAGCGTGCTTTTGATTCGTCCTGAACAGATGGAAAATTACAGGGTCAGCAGTCGGCACAACGGCAGCCCATTTTCTGAAGCAGACGATTAATGTCCAATTCAACATAGAACGATGTTGCAGGGCAATGTGTGGATGATGTGAAGCAAGGCAGAGAGCAAAGGTGAGAAAGTCGGGTGGTGGAAGGAATTTAAAGCTATGAAAAAAATCAACTTAAATTGCTTCCATGCAGCTGTGTAAAAGAAAAAAAAAAGTGGGTCATCTGTCTTCCACTGTGACTAGTGAAAAAAGGGTTTTTGTACATTGACAGACTTAATAAACTGGAAAATTTAAACTGAGTTAATTGTTTTTCAAGCTGACAATCTGATTAACCATTAGTTAAACTGCTAATTAGTATTACTGAATAATTTGCAAGCCCACCCTTCCTCCTGGTGAAAAAAGTGAAATGTATTACCTGAGCAGGAGTTTGAAGGGGAGAGAATTACTTCACCTGCAACGAAAGCTTGAAAGCAAAAACCAATCAAGGCTTTAAAAAGGATGTTTAATTTTCTTTCAATTCCATTACTGAAAGAGAAAATGAAACTGACTCATTTTCTGTGCGTGTTTTGATACTAAGTACTTTGAAATTAAATGCCTTTATTTTCATATGTATTTGGACAGGAAGGGCACCAGCACCACAGGGTCTCTCTGTGTCCCCCAGTGTGACCAAACTCAGTGCTTTTTGGGTCCGTTTAGCATGCTTCTCACCAACTCCATACCAAATCCTCTTTTTTTTTCTTTTTTTTTTTTATAAACCCCCTGCAATCTCTTGCTCTAGGCATTATTCCTGATCACAGAACTCTGACTTAAACTAAAGTTACCATTTAAAATGGTAAAACCTAAAGCAAGTATAACAAATTGACCATTGTATTATACTTTGAATATTGTCTTACTAAATGACTGTCTGTTGCGAGACCGTCTGTTTCTGTTCTCCCACTATTACTGGGTTTCATCCAAAGTTAACTTTTCAGCCTAAGAAAAGCTTTGATATTTTCACTTAACGCCAACAAAGTGTAGCTTTTATCAGCTGAGGAACATAGAAAATGTTTTAAAATCATAATCCATCACTTTGTAGCCTTGATTGATGATTGTGCAGCTACTGTATGCATCAGTCAGGTGATAGATGGATGTAGAGTAAATCATGAGTCCTTAGGATGTCTTAGTGAACAGACTGTGTCAGTAAACCTTTGAGTTGAGCAATATTCAGTTGAAACTTAATTATATTTGACTTTGCAGTTATGGAATTCCAGGTAGTACCTGTTTTACTCAAGAAGATAGAAATAATGTTCACAATTAGAATATAAAAATTCTAAATAAATAAAACAAACAAAAAAATAAAAAATCCTGAGCATGGATTGAAATCTTTAGTTAAAGAATTTCCAAAAAAAACAACATTTGTAGTTTGTGCTTTATGTGGCACTGTCTGATCTGTCCTCTCAGTAATTACCTGTTTATCTTACATGTCGAGTTTAATCAAGCTGGAGTTTGGAAAAAAGACAGATGGGG